GAATGCCACTTGTTGGCAGCCCCAGAAACCTCAGGAGGTTTGGGGGACTCTGAGGAGAGAGGAATTCACCCAAGTCTGCAGATGTCACAGACGAACCCTGATGTGAAGTTGCTGGCTCTGTCTCTGCCTCCAGAGGATTTTACCAATTCAGCTGCGATTCCATATTAAAAGTGCCAGCAAAGTCTTCTTAAAAAGGGTCTCGACGGCCAGTCCCTCTTCTTGCTGCCCTTATGCAGACAATCAAGGCCAGTTGATGAGACTGAACATGTTTTGCAAATAAATCGGCCTTTTATTATCTTTGGTAGAAACAGGGATTATGCTGGAAGAAAATTATGTTTCTGAAGAAAATTATAGCATGCCTAATGTCAGATTCTAGCCTGTTCTTTTCTTTTCTTTTCTTTTTATTTTTTGGAGACGGAGCCTCAAGCTATCCCCCTGGGCAGACTGCTGTGGCATCACAGCTCACAGCAACCTCCAACTCCTGGGCTCAAGCGAGTCTCCTGCCTCAGCCTCCCAAGTAGCTGGGACCACAGGCGCCCACCACAACTCCTGGCCATTTTTTGGTTGCAGCCATCATTGTTGTTTGGCGGGCCCGGGCTGGGGATTTGAACCCGGCACCTTAGGTGTATGTGGCTGGTGCCTTAGCTGCTTGAGCCACAGGTGCTGAGCCAGCCTGTTCTTTTCATTTGAGGCCTTACTATACTCCTGAAATCTGGACTAGAGCTTGAATTCTTATAGTTTCCTCTGATATCTGCCTACCACTCTCCAAAATACCATTTCCATTTTTTTTTTTGCATCCTTCTAACTTGGAGTCCTCGCTCCTTTCCTGAGGCCCCCTACACTGAGGGCACTATGACCTTGAGAGAAACCCTGGTGATGGCTCATGTGTGCACAACCTTCACGGCATCGGCTGGCATCAGGTCACCCCGTCTGCCTTGTGCCACCTGCAGAGGGAGGGCCCTATGTCTCGATGCCCTCTGGGCTCAGGAATGGTTCATAGGAGGCTCCCTTCATTGACTAGGTCCCAATCTTCCTGTCCCACCCCGGCCCAGGGGCTCTCTGCTTGGCAGACACACTTGCCATAGCCGAGTCCCAGCATGGGGTTCAGCCCGTAATGAACAGAAGACAACCCAGGGAGAAACAGAGTCACATGACTCTAAGGAGAGGAGAATGTTTCTTCTGTCCTTGGACAAGGTTCTGTGGTGGCCCAACTTAGTCAGGCTCCCCAGCCTTCTCCTGGCTGTCTGCGCACTTCCCCGTAAGATCCAGTTTAGCAAAGAGCCTGTGAAGTCTGTTTGGCAAGTCTCCCCCACCCGCTCACCCCAGATACGGTCAGGTGCCATGTGGTCCTCCCTCCCCCAGGTGGTGCTGGTCTTCCACCTGCTACATCAGGAGTCTGGCTGGGTAGGCTTGGCCAGAGCCCCTCAGCCCTAATTTCCTGCCTAGCGACTTTCCACCACTGACTCTACCTGCTTTCTGGCTGCATGTGGAACTAAGCCCTGCTAGGCCCTAGGCCTTGTGTTGAAGTGTGACCCCCAGTGCTGGAGGCATCTGGGTTGTGGGGTATACCCCTCCCTGTAGTGGGCAGGCTCCCTCCAACTCCTCCACTCTCTTGCTTCTTGGCTTACCATGTGGTCTCCGCATATGCAGAGTCCCCCCCACCCTGCCCCCATCCCTCCACCCCTCATCTGAGTGCAGTGATTTCAGGCCTTTGCCAGAGCTGGTGCCAGCCCCACGATTCCTGCACAGCCCGCAGATCCAGAGCCGATAGTGCCCTTCTGTGTAAATCACCCAGCCTTGGGAGTTCTTTTATAGCAGGTGTGTCCAACCTGTGACCTGTGGGCGACATGCAGATTTTTTGAGGTCTGTTTTGCTTATCTGTGGTGTCAGATATCCTGAAAAGTATGCACAGACCTTTCTGATGCTCGTCAGCTACTGTGGTGCTTGTGTATTTAATGTGTGGCACAAAGTAACTCCTAGTTTTCTAATTTGTGGCTGCAAAGAAAAATGCTGGACACCCCTGCTTACAGTAACACAAATCAGGCTGACACAAGCCCAGTCTCCCCCCACCCCACTGCAAAGCCCCAGTCAGTGGCCCTGGCCAACTGCAAGGGTCTTGATAGAGTCCTCACTGCCCCTTAATAGGTGGTGTCCAGCCACTTCCCCTTTCTCAGCACCAAGCCCCTCCAGCTGGCTGGCTCTGCTCAGCAATGATCTGATTTTGTGACAAACGGTGTCCACCATCCTCCCTCTCTCATCACTGCCAGTGAAAACAGCCAAGCACAGGATGGAAGGTGAGCCACCACGTCACAGCCCAAAGCACCCTCCCCTTGGTCAAGGGTGATGTGTTGCTGAGTGCTGTCCTGCTGGCTGGAGTATGAGGTTGTGTGACCAGGAGGGTGAGGTCTGCAGTCCCATGCAGGACGGTGGTCAGGGGGTCCTTTGATGGAATTAGAGCTGGAAACATACTGTGAGACTCACCAGGACAGGGTCCTATTTTTACCTGAGGTGATGTGCCCTGAGGACTGGGAACGGGGAGGGAGGTGGGGCACAGATGACAGGCAGATGATAAACAGATGATGGAGCACAGAAGATGGACGCAGGGGAGGGACACAGGGGATGGGCACAGAGGATGGGCACAGGGGATAGACACAGGGGATGGAAACAGAGGATGGGCACAGGGGATGGACACAGGGGAGTGGCACAGGGGACGGGCACAGCGGATGGACACAGGGGAGGGGCATAGGAGATGGACACAGGGGATGGACACA